CTTGACCAGGGTTCAAATGTTGCGCTAATGTAGAACAAGCTGAGGAAAAGAGATCTATGATAGAAATTTAGAACAAAAATCAGACAGAAGTAATTAAGGAAAACTAGAGGAAATAGGTAGAGAAATAAAAGACTTAGGGAGAAAACAAGAAAGAATACTAGAGGATGAAAATCACAATACTCAATATCTTAAGATCTCAAATATTCATCCTCCAAAACCTAATAAAAAATAAATAACATAGATTTTTGAGAACCTCTTAAAAAAAACAGCAACTTTTTCTAAAAAACAAAATTCAAAAAAAAAAAAAAGAGCTTAAAAGAAAAGCTCCAAGTAGTAGCTTTCTCTTCTCTTCTTTTAAAAACACACTAGCTTTTTAGAAAATACCCCTCTCTCAATCAATCTCCCTCTCCTCTTCGTCCCTTTGCAAATCACCCTTCTCCAACACAAAATTACGATCTCCCTCTCCTTTATCTCTCTCTACATAGACTAATAGAAAAAAAAAATAGAAGACTTAACAATAGAACAAAAAAATCTAAAATTTTTTTGTTCTTACCAAAATTAAAAGAAAAGAAGACCCAAAATTTAAAGCTGCATTTAGGTATTATTTAAAGGTTCTCTCTTCTTCACCAAAAAATCCAATACTATTAGAGTTATTCCGTTTTGGATTTCTTTATGGATTTCTTTGAATTTTAATATCTAAAATCATATAAAATTTCAAAGCAGATTTGTTCCGCTTTGGTTTATTAAGTGATTGAAGATGGTATGAATGGCCATTATGGTAATTTTAATCAAATTATAGTTTATATAATTTATTTTTCCAAATGGCTTACCAAACAATTTTAGCTTAATTTTAAAAGCTATTATTTTTTATAAGAGCTTCACAAAGCTAAAAAAAAAACTAGACGAAACAATCTCTAAATCAAAAACCCTAATAAAACACAAAATATCAAAATAACCCTAAAATCCCAAATACTTGAAAAAAAAAAAATATTAATCAAAATAAAAAAAAACTTGAACAATCTAAAATAGCCTACATATATGTAAAGATTACTATCAAACGTGTAAAATATAAAATAAAGTCCTACATAACTTAATTCCTCAATGAGAAGATTTCCATCCTCCACCATTCTCCCTTGGTTAGAGATAACTCAACCTCAAGTTTTGAAAACAAGAAGCAAAACAAATTTCCAGCAAGATCCATTAATAGCAGTGTCAAACCTGATTTTCACTAGGGGCACTAACATCTTCAACAAAGCAACTTGCACCTCATTTTTCAGCACACTTGGAATGATGAAGTAAATAGAAGAACTATCATCAATAAAAGTGATCTTAATCTCAATAATTGGAAGGATAAAATCAATAGATGAAGGATCTTCACCACACATCACTTGAAGTGTTCAGTTGCTTAGATAGCCACATATTTAATTGCAAAACTTAGAGTCAGCATTCCCATTTTCCACAATTTCAACTTTAAGCAAATCATGTTGCATTAACTCATCAGTATCTACCCCATGCATCAATCTCTTAATTGTTTTTCAACATTATTGTTCTTTTTGGCCTCAAAAATAAAGGATGCGTTTACCACTATAACATCTTTAGCATGGTTTTCCTCAACCTTCATTTTTATTTCTCAAACACATTGGAGGAACATACTTGAGATAACAAACTTGAAAGACAATCAAGGAATAATTTTCCCAATTGAAAACATACTTCTCCAAATTGATCCTTCACTTCCATTTTTATTAATCATACATGTGTTGTAATCTCCAATTTTCAAGTAGTTTCCTACTTTAAAGTTTATAATCTTTGAAATCGCAGTATTCATATTCCTAAAAGACTAGGATGAATATTCTCAAAGCCATATCCAACTCTGAAAGCAATCAACTGATCTTGTAAGTGAAAAGCAACTACACAAATATCATACTCCAAACTCTTAAATTTTCTCAAAGTAATCTTTTTAACCTCAAAATAAAGATTTCATAATCTGGCCACTTAAATTTTACCTTTAGAGGATGGGTCTTGCTAAATGAACCTCAAATTCCAATCCTGAAGCCAAAATCAGCAGATCAAGAGGATTTGCAATAAAACATTTGCTGACATGGATTGACACATAAATGCTGACATGGCAAGTAATGTGTCAAATGACATCAGCAAACTAGGATCGCAGTCGGAGCATGGGTGTGCAAAGCATGGTATCTGCAACTAGGGCTGTGCAAAATCAATCGAACCGAACCAATTTAAGTTCGATTTTCGCAATTTGATTAGATCAGTATTCGATGACATTGGTTAATTAATTTCAGTTAGAACAGTATTATTGGTTCGGTCTTTGATTTGGAATTTTCCCAACCAAAGTAACCAAATTAACCGAAGTCCATATTACTTATATAATGAGGGATACTTTGGGGCTTTCATTGCTTAGGGAATTAATTCCCTAATCCCCGTAGGCTCGATTCTGCTGATAGCCAAAAATCCATCCCTCCTTCCCCTTTAGCACTCCCTTCCTGTAGCTCACCCTCACCGTCACCATGCCCTCACCATTGCCTCAGGCCTACATCTCTGACTAGTCAACAACTAGCAACTCCCCATCCTCTTCCCCTTTATTTTTGTAAAATTTTTTGTTCAAGTTTGGTTTTCGGAAACCAAACAAAATTCACCATAGTTCGATGTTTGATTCTTCAATTACTAAACGTACTTTGATTCAATTTCGATTTCTCATAAGATCAATTCAGGTTTTCTAGTTTTGGGATTTCCAACACTGATTTCACTTAACTAATCGATTGCACAGCCACACTTATTATCGTTGATGGCAAACCTAGTGAAGTTATCTAGTCATTAAAAAAAAAAATAACCATATTTAGATCTGTGGCTATCTAGTAGTGAGAGAAAGACACAACCACCATAGTTTGCGTAGTTGGTGCAGATTCAATTTGTTTCGATTTTTCGGTTTGGTTTGATTTTGCACAACCCTACTAGTAAGGCTTGCAACTTGGACTGATAGGTGATTAGACAACTAGACAACAACAGACAAATTTTCTATCTGTACATTTTATTTTAACAAACTTAGGTGGATCTTTTTTGGCAGATCTAAAGGATAAGCTTATAGAAAAAACTCTTCTAAGCTCTGCTACCAAATTGACATAGAACAAGTAGGGGAAAAGAGATATATAATAGAAATTTAGAGAGAAAATCAAAGATAAACAAAAGCAATTAGGGAAAAACAGAGGAAACAGGTAGAGAAATATAAAACTCGGGGGACAACTAGAAAGGATAACTGCAAAAGACAATCACTATCTTCAATATCTCCAAATCTGATATATTTATAACTTAACCAAACCTGAAATAACATAAGTATTTATTATTAACCAAAACCCAAATAAAACGCAAAACATCGCATTACCTTGGCCATTCCATTCCAAGTCTCTTCCAAATGGAGGCACATTTCTATGGTTTGATTCAAATTTTGGTAGGGAATGACCATTCTGGTCAAAAGGTCTATCCAGACTAGAGTTGTCCCCACCAAGTTTTGCAAAAGATGCTTTCTAGAGTGCTTTATTGCTAAGCAGGCTCCTCTTGTGGAAGAGCATTTCTACTACAGAATCAGAATGGGTTTGGTTCTCAAACTATTTTAATTTAAGCAGGAAGTTAGTTTTAACTTCTAGACAAAAGCTAGAAATCATAACTTCTCCAAAAAGTACCAATGTATAGCAATAAATATTTAATGATTTTCTTTTTACATTTTCATTTTACTTTTCAATGATTCATAAAATTATAAGAAATATAATGTCTACACTTATCTTTTTTAATCTAGCTTAAATTTTTTATTTGATTTTATTTAATTTGTTAAAATGGTAGAAATAAATTTTATTCTATATCCAATTAACAAATACGTTTCTTTATTTTATTTATTTCTTTCACTTTAAAACATATGATTTGGTTTAATAACGTTAAATCTTTATTTTATTTATTTATCCAAAAATAAGCAAAAATTCTATCAATTAGTTTTCTATATCCTACCGTCTACATTATAAATTCGACAAACTCTGGTTTTAATTGTCTTTGCAGCACTTTTTAAACAACTTTACTCATAGCAGAACTTCCTACAAAAGTTCCAACCAGGCCAAACAAGCTCTAAGGGTTGCGTTTGCTATATGGGATTCAACTCACATTCCTTGCATTTTAATTCAGAGTAAGGACATTCCAATGTTTAGTATAAAATATACCCATTAGAATGTCCGTACCTTGACCAAAGGGAATGCAAGGGCAATCACATTCCCATGACCTAGTGGCAAAGTTTCATTCCCTCCATGACCAATTGGGAGAGCATTCCGATAAGTATATTTCATAGCAAACATGGGAATGTCCTTCCTCCCAATTAAAATGCAAGGAATGTGAGTCACATAAGATAGGGAAATAATAATTCACTTGCTATTTTAAATCTAATCCAATGATTTAAGAACATTATTTTCTTATTTCCTAAATATCAAATGGAGTTAAAGACAAGAAAAAGAGTAACACAAGAAGACATACAAAAAGCCTAGTACATAAAATAATAATTGATGTTACAGCCATATTTATACTATCCTATTCTTGCATCAATGGTAGAGAAATGTAAAAAAATTTCATCACTCAATTTGTATTTTTACTTTACACTAATTTAATCAAATCTAATGATTCGCTTTATAATTTTTTTTGCTGTCCGAACTAAGTTTGGTGTTATTTGAATCTTACTAGTTAATTTATATTTTTTAATTTTTAAATAATTAGTATTCAAATATTATGTTATTTTTGTCATCTATTATTTAATATTTATTATAAAAAAATTCAGGTCGAGTTGAAAAGTTTAACCAGACAAAGTACAAACAAGGACAACATTTATGGGACAAAGGGAGTATTGCATCATTAGTCGCATTTTTTGTATAGATACTAAATTAATTCATTGGGGATATTTTTGAGCCTCACAACCATTTTTGTTTTTCAAATAATCATTGATTAAAATTTTTTAAAAAATCCCTTAAAAGCTTTGAATTGAGAATTTTTCAAATACATATTTATTATAATCTGATTTAATAAATATCTAAAATAATTCAAGTCAACGTTGAAAAGCTTTAACAAAATAAAAAGAAAACCTAGGACAATATCTATGAGGCGAAGGGAGTAGTGAATCATTAGTCACATTTTTTTTGTATAGATACTAAATTAACTCATTTGGATACTTTTAAGCCTTATGTTTTCTCAGGTAGTCTTCCTACAAGTGTTTCAATGATTGCAATGACTTGTTGATGAGCTTGTTAGTTCTAACCTCAATGACATGCTACTACTTTGCTCAAGGGAACTTTGTTCATAGGGAAGGTTATCCATTTTCCTACTTTTCGGCTTATCAAAGACGAGTGCCATTTGCAATTTAACTCTCCAAAGTTAAGTTCTTTCAACTAGGGTGAATGATGGAGGATTGCTTTAAGGTCTTATTAGGGTTTTTCTTCTTTAACTAAGGATATATTTGGAAATTTGACTTTTAAGTTAAGGATTTACGTCTTGTATCTATTAGTACTCGAAAATTGCGAACTAACGTTTTCCTCCCTATTGATTCTCTTCATTCCTCTCCCCTACTATCCTATTTAGGATCTACCCCATAATACTCTCTTTATCATCAAAATTCCTCTACTTCCTTCCATTTCCCAATTAATCTTCAATCAAATTTTTATTTTCTCTTTCCCTGGGAAAGTGAAAGACACAAACCAAATCAAATTAACAAATATTGATATAGTATTGGGTTAGTATAGTCTGAATTTTCTCCAATTCATGCAGAACCATAACAGTAATTTCCTCCATGCTAGAGGGAATAAATGCCCAGTGTTCAATTAGATGTGAAGAAAAACAAAACCGAACCTACTTATACCTCAGACAATCCAGTTAGGCCATCCTTTGATTTTGGAATAATTAAAATGTGTGTAGGAGCCTGGGGAGATATGTCCCTAAAAGCTAAGACCTACATACAAAAGAAAAGGCAAATAAACATGATGTTAGTGTAATGAATGTCTAATAAACTTAAATACAACGGAAAAGATTCAACATATCAAACAAAACAAAACAAACAGTGAAAGCATTTACAAGAACCTACTCCCAAATAAAGATAGAGAAGACATAGTAATTCACACACACAAATGATAGGATCGATGCATTGATCATAAAATTCAAGAAAATAATAAATAAAATAAAATAACCTTCACAAATAGAAAAGAAATTAAGCCATCAAAAAAATGGAACTTTCAACTGCAGATTATGTTGTCGATGCATAAACATAGTTTATGGCTTTTCATGCTTCCCTTAAGTAAAGACATTTGAAATTTTAATTCTCACATTGAACTCAATGGTAATCATCTATCAAATATCAGTTTAAGATAACAAAAAGGAATAAGTATCTCATCTTTGATTGTTACTTATTAACCTGCTCAGACTGCCAAAAGGCCAACCCTATCTGACTGAAAGTTATGAAAAAAGGCAAAGACCCAAACCCAACCCTAAATCAAACTGATTATTATTTGCTGGCAAAGTAAAATGAGACAAAAGTTGATCCAAATTTGGAAGACCCACCTAAATCCCAACCCCATCCAACATTGACCTCCAAAGTTCATAAGCCAAACCCAAAAATGGCTCAAAAAACAAAAAAGTAAAACAACTTAAACTCAGCCAACTTGTCCAATTGCTACCAAACTTATAACAATAAACTGAAAGAAAAAACAGGAAAAAAAAAAAGGAGAGAGAACATATGAACAATTCAATGAAGATAAAATTAATTTGATAGCTCCAAATGAAGCAGTTCATCAATCTATCACTATGCTACGTTATCTTTTAAAGGTTCAGTACCATAATAAATTGTCAATGGCCTTCTTATCCAAGTCCTTATAGAATTTAATTCCAATTCAATATTGCAACGTGTACCAAAGATCTTAAGTGATACACTAGAATCTTCCAAATTTCATCTAAACATAATCAACAAAAAAAGTTGAGAAACCAAACATGAAAAATTGCTTAAATGCATACACCGAATACTGAGAAGCTAAAATAGCATATACTATCATCAAAAATAGCATTTAAGGAAAAAGAAACCTTAAAACCATATTTCTTTTGTTACCAATAAAATGAGATCTTTTAATAGAAAGCCCTTTGTTTCTTAATGAAACAAACTAAGAGGCCAAATAAAGGCGCTAATCTAAATGTGTGAGAAAGATGAAGATTGAAGGTCAAGAAGCAGACCAAATGAAGAAAAAGGTGCAAGATATATGGTAGAGCAAAAAGCCACAACCATCACAAGAGGAAGAAAAGGTACATCAATATTAAATATAACATAAAATATCAATGAAGGAGAGAGAAATAGAGAAAGTTGGTCATTTTTATGGAGATTAAAGTGTTTTGAGTAATAAGATAAATGGCAGATTAGAAAATCTTCACCAATATGATAGTTTAAAGCTTTTGGCCAGTGAAAGGAAAAGTCATTGCTAATTAATGATTTTTTATTTCTCAACTGTTTATCAAAGTTGAGAAACCAAAAATGTGTCATGTACCAGAGGGCAGTGATGTTGACTGCATTTTTTCCAGTTTTTTTTTTCTTCCAACAGTTAATAAACATTTTTTTTTCTTGGTCATAAAAGATAAAATTTGAAGGAAAAAAAATGGAAAAGTTGCAGTCAACACAACTGCACTCTGGTACATGGCACATGCTGTTTCAATGGTAGCTATTTAAACCTTGTAAATTGGCAAATAGTGATGTAGAACAAGAGAGGGAAAGAGAGAGAAACAGAGAACAGAGACTAAACATAGCAAATCAAGAACAAATCACAGGCACCTAAGGAAAAATCTCATTTCATAAAATCTCGATAGTCCAAAAGCTATTAGAAACTAAAACAACATTGATATTTCTGAAATACTTCCTAAACCCCAATACTTGGTAGATAAATAAAAACACAGATAAATATACAATAACTGAAATATTATAAAATTTATGTATAAATCGATAATATAAATTCCTAATTATATAATTAATCCATGTGAATCTTCTAACCCCATCAATAGGCCTCTAACTAAGCTAAAGTCTTGAGCCATTTGGACATATATTACTGAAACAACAACTGCATAAACAACTCATTGGGAGAATGAAAGAAAACAAAAATATCCCCTCAAGCAAAAAAATTGTTCTAATCAGTTTGTTACATTTTTCCATATGCTTTTTGATTTCCAAAGTCATAAAAAGAAAAATCATAATTGATTAAAATTGAGCAAATGACTAAAGTGCAATAACAATTCTAACATGATTACTATAAACTAAAGTAAAATCATGCACATTATTATCCAAATAGAAATTACAATTTAAATTTTTAATGCTTCAAAAATGTTATTTGTTATTAAATCCTATCACACTTTTGCTTTTTGCTTCTAGCATCACCGCGACAGAACTTATATTCATAAATTGCTAGTAAAACAAACGAAAAACCTCTAATGTGTCTTTCTAAGTTAGATGGTGCTATCTTACAGGTTTGACATGCATTATTTCAGGCCAAAAAAGGGCCTACTTGCCAAAATGCACTAGTTCCAGGGATATGCCCGGCTTAAAAGTGCAGGGATTGTCTGCATTTTACCCTTTAGAAGATAAACATTGAGTAGAGCTCAATAGTTGTGATTGTGCATCGTTACATGCAGCTTAATTGACTTGAAAATAGAACAAGACAAATTTTCAGGTCGCTATTTGGGCGAGAGAGTTTGTTCTAAAGATTCTACAAAGTTTAGGTACTGACTAGCCATTGGCAAGCATCTTCTGATGCAAAAACAAAAAGAAAAAAAAAGGGTTTATATCCCATCAAGCTCCCAGTTTAAAGAAAGAAAGTTGGCCATGATTTCTAAAAGTCCTTTTCAGCATACAACTAACCTTATCATCTTCATATACCACCTTAGATGGGATTTCCTTGTTGATGATTTTGTCAAATCTGAAAAAACAAGAAAATTAGGCAATCTAGTTCTCTATTCCAGTATTACTATGTTCTTAATCTCAAGAAAAAAAAAAAAGAGTTTGCACAGAAGAAACATATATTTAAAATGATTAAAAGAATTAAAAGGAAAACAAAGAAATTGATTAGGAGAAGAAGAAAGAGAAACGTGGGATTACATGGTAGGAGAATCGGAGGGAACAGCTGCGAGGGCAGCTTCTTTCTCCGAAGCCATGAGGGAAGATTCCAAATGCAAATCAGTAAAATGAGAGCTCAAAACTAACAGTCGGCTCTTGTGTGTTTCAGCACTCATCACTAACCCTACTTTCTTCCTTGCTCTATTCTTTTGAACTTGTGCCCCCCTCTCTAGTCCAATGAGACTTCTCCACGTCATCCTTCACCACTTTCTTCCCGATCCCCCGTTTTGGGCATTCTGCACCACAGGTCGTGGGGTCTGACTTGCTTGACTTAAATGTCAAGCTAAAATATTATCAGTCCCTAAGTTTTAATTAAATTTTAAGTAAGTTAATTAATTTTTAAAGTAAATACTTTATCTAAAATATAAATATTTTTTATAAAAAATATGAAAAATTAGAATATTATTTTTTTACTAATTTAAAAAATTATTATTATATAATTTTTTAAAAAAAACTCAAAAAGCATCAATCAGTGCTCCCAACTCATCTTTGTGCTTTCTTAATTTTTTTTAAATTAATAAAAATTATATAATAATAAATTTTAAAATTAATAAAAAATAAAAATTTTTTTTTTTATAACATTATCAAATTAATGAAAATACTAATGATTGATTAATGAAAATACTAGTGATTGATTAATGACTAAACTTATGTGCCTAATGAAAGATTATTTTAAAATGAAATGTTGATTTCGAAAACTAATAAATTCGTTTGAAATTTTTATTAAAACTTAAAAAGTTGTAGCATTTTACGTTATATTTTAAATAGAGTCATTATGGTTTGGGAACTTAAAGTCCAAGTTTATAGCATATTGGTTAGAGTAGTTATTTACCGAATAGGATAAAATAACTATTATATGGTTTGATTTATAAAATAAAATTGTTATTTTATTTTATTTTTTAAAATATTAATAATTTAAAATTTTTTAAAATTTTAATAAACTTTTTATTTTATTTTATTTTATTAATATTTTAGAGAGAGAAAGAAAGAGGTAGATGAGGTAAAAGGAGAAAAAGAGAGAAAAATTAAGGCTTTTATATGCTAAGGTTAGTTTTTAACATATTAGAGATAAACCCGTGCATTCCACACGATTAGTAGTAAATTGTTTTAGTAGTTGTATTTATAACTTTTTTTTATTTTAAAAATTTTTAGTGGGTAAGGAATGGTGAAAGCTTCTGCAATTAAAATCACATACAAATCATCAAGTGTAACGCAAAAATCTAAGGCAATATGATTATCATTTGTAATTTTATATTCGTTGTTAGCTTAGTCACAAAAGCTTGCAATATTCGGTTTTGGCAGAGCTTTACAAAATATAGACCTGTTTCACCTTTGGTTAAGGTTGAATTTGATTAAATTTTGATGTCATGTTGTTACAAAATATATGCAATATAGTTAACCAAGTTTGTTAATACACTATTAGCACTTTTAAGCATATACAAAAATAAAGTGATAATGTGCAAGTAAACATCCAACCTTGAAACAAAGAGATGAGGTATTCTAACATGTAGTTGGCGAATAGACTTCAATGTCTTTTTTCAATAGCAAATTCACCAAAAGTTTCAACTTCAACCATGTTTCTATGAAGGGGTTAGTTTAGAGTGTCCCTTGTTTTGAAACAAAAGAACATAAGTTTTGTGTACATTTCAATTAAAGCATAATGGAAGATGCAATGATGTAAACTAAACTTGGCTTTATATTTTTTGGTGAGTGACTCTTCTCCTTAGCTAGTATCAAGTTGTTTTTGAGGTGTGCTTTTTGGGAAACGTTCTCTGGCCACCTTCGTGATGTCTGGTGATGGCAGAAGTTGTTCCTTCAATTGCTGAATTATTGATGGGGGTGTTAATGATCTAGAGATGATGTTAGAAGTTGGAGTGGTGGGTTGTTGATGTGCTATCTCTTCACAATCAAACATTTTATAGTTTGCAATTCTTGTTTTGATTCCTCTTAATGTGAAACCATTTATAAACTTATTTGGTTGATCAAAGCTTTAACAGGTCCAAGCAATGTCATGCAATGACTAGTGTTGACAATTGTGAGTTTTGCGATAATCGCTTCCACCAACTTCTTTGCTGACCTACCAAATGTGACCAATCCCATATGAGCAACATCATCTTTCAAAAGGAGTTGTATGGAGCTTCTGAAAAAAATGAAAGTCTACAAATGTAAATTTTCGACTCAAGGATACAACGTTGAGTTTATGAAATGCAATGTTTAATCATTTTGTAGATAATAGTAAGATAGATAATATATGGAGAATAACTATTATTGAAACTACTCACGTTCTGCACTCAAGCATATGAAGTGATTGTAAGATTCAGCTTAAAGAGATGACAGACAAAGGTATAAAAATGAAATAGAAACGAAAAGGTTATGAAATTATAATGATATACCTATAAGGTGATTATTATGATCAGTACAATAGTAACAACACATAATATAAAAGACTGGATAAGTTTCTAAAGCTATTGTAACATCAAAAAAAGATTTTGACATGTTTAGATATAATATTTTATTCATAGTGATCTCATATATTTAATAAAAATAAAATATAGACCAGTCACTTAAAAAAAGCAGTTTCTAGCAAGATATTGACCTAATCAAAAGTAGCAAAGAGTTGTGAGCAAGGTGATACATGTAAGGGTGTCATCAGTTAAGAAATATGAGAATGAAATTGGTTACATAATACCATAAAAAAAAAAACCTAATCTTCAAAGCAAGCGTTCATTTTCAAATTGTCGTTCATAAACGATTGTTTCTCAAATGAACATCTTCAATTCATATCCAATAGTAGTAATCTAATGTTGCAGAAATAAATGTCTCACCAAAGAAGATTCCTACATGTCTTAATTAGCTTAGAGAAACAAATGTGATAATTCTAATAGTAACAAATATATTTATATTGAGATGAAAATTATATCTTTCTTCACATTAAAGTAGCTTATCATCTAAATTTATAGGTTTATAAAGTCAATTAATTTCTCATGATGGACAACTTTATGTGGATAAACAGGATATTTGACCCCCCCTAATGATGTAAATTAGAATATACTATTATACAATATTATGTTCTCTTTAAACTTAGTTCTTGTGTTATTTGTGTTGCCACTAAACAAATGATCTAGGAAGGCAAACGCTTGTCTAAAAAGAGGTATTTTGACTATGCCTTTTTAACAATAAAGATTGAAAGTTGGATGTCTACTTTGCTTTGATATATCAGCCTTCTTTTCATATTTACATGTGAACGGAGCAAAAAGGACATGTGTAATTTGATCCTATGAAATAAAAAGCTGTGGAGCAATGTCTAGACATATTGTTAGTTAGAATTGTAGTATTTTGTGAAAAGTAGCAACTAGAGGTAGTTAAAGAAGAAGACGTGGAGTTGAATTTTCCTTTTTCAGAAAAAGTTTTTCCTGAGCCCACGACAGAAGTAATCCTAATAGTCTCAACCGAAATTGTTTGCATTCTCTTTCAACATCTACTGTTAAATGAATGACTACATGTCCTCCAACGGGCACATCAATAACATTGAATGATTATTTACGTTGGTTAACATGACCACCTATTAGTGATTCTGCTACTGACATAGCATGAATATTGCTATGTTCAGGTTCAAAAATCTGCTTAAGTTCATATGTACAACTATCACCTTTGGACACGATTATAGCAGGATTATCAAAATTTTTAACATTTACTAATATTTTTGCTCTCAATTTTTTTATCCAGTTGTACCTATTTTGTTTACAAAGGTTAATTGAATCTATGAAAAGAAACTTATTTTTATTAAATGAAGGTCTATTAAAAAGATAATAATTAATTACAAGGACAATAAATATACAGGCTATCCGAAAAAAAAATATGACAGATCAAATCGAGAAAAAAATAAATGCAAGAATGAAAAGATAAAATAAGTTAGCACACTTTACAGTAGATGGTGAATGCTTGCTGCAATGGGCGGCCACAAACACTATGGTATCAAAAAATAAATAGATATTACATTGATGTAAAAAGTGAATCCATTTCATAAAAAATGATAATTATTAGTAGATACTCATCAAATTATGTAAAACAATTGAAAGGTTAACAAAGCGAGTATAAAAAGCTCCAAACATAATGAACATCAGATACGCAAATATTTGTGCATGTCAAAAGAGAGAGTGTTTTTATATGTTGTAAGTGCATTTAATGTTTCCTCTAACACAGAATCATCTATTTAAAATGCTCCATATGTTGTTCTTTTTATAAAAAGAGGTTAGTGAAATTTGAACAAAAGTTAAAATATAATGATAAATCAATAGAATAATTCAGGGATCAATCAATCACCAAACCCAATAGCATTGTTTTAATTGATTTTGCCATGCCAAACAATTTTCTAATCATTAAAAATTGATTAAATAAAGAAAACAGATTGACAGAACCTAGCTCAATTCTTTTAGAAAATTCCACACGTCCGTTTCTTTCTCAAACAAAAAAAAGATTTGATAGATGGATTTTGCCAAAACCAATTGCATGGAAAAAACTCACAAACCTTGCTGTAATCAGTACCAAATAGAATTTGACAAAACACCATCACAGCTAATAAACAAAATAATAATTTATGCGAAACAGTTGTAAAAACTACAAAGCAAAACAGCAATAGTACATAATTCAAATATTAAACGAACATTGTTTAATAAAAAAAAAGCACATGAAAAAACTCATTATATTATTAATCTATAACATATAACCATGACATAAAGCTGAAATTGTAAGGAAAAAATATACCAATCTTGCTACAATCGATATTAAACATAACTTGATAAAACAAATTAAAAAACAAAGGTAAGAATACAAATGAAAAAAAAAAAAGAAAAGCTAGCAGCATGTCACTACATATGGGAGACTACCTTTGTTAATGTTGCGCCAAAGAGAGATGTAAACACTGCAAAATGAAAGGCCAAATAAAATTGTCATCGTCAATATAAAAGCTCCAGATATAATAAATATTAGAATAAGCAAACATTTGTGCATCCCAAAAAAGAGTCTTTTTATACATCCTAAGTCCATCTAATATATCTTCCAGCAAAGCATCATCAATTCAAAATAACCCCTATCTAGAGATCAAATGGCATACCTAGCCATGGTAGTTTAATGATGTTCTCATGGATCAAAATATCAAATATGTGTTAAAATAATTACAAATGTGAATTTTTTTATTAATTCTTAATTTTTT